ACTCCTGAACGTGGGTGCTCAGGCTGCCCCGCGTATTCTGTCTTCGACGCCTCGGCAGTCTTGAAGGTACGAACCTGTCCATCCTATGGCTGCGCGTAGACAGTGATGACCATCCCCGAGTCTACGGGTGCCTCTATAGGTCCCATAGCAGTAATGCCGACACAGACTGACTCATTGACCACGTCCAAATGGCTGCAGACTCTGTGCTACAACAGATCCCATCCGCAGAGTTCGTGATACTCGGTGATTTTAACGCCCACCACGCTGAATGGCTTGGTTCTCGTTTAACCGATCATGCGGGTAGATCTGTCTATGACTTTGCTTTGGCATATGGTCTAACACAACTGGTTACTTCGCCTACGCGGATCCCAGATGTGGAAGACCATGTACCTTCCCTGTTGGACCTTCTGCTGACCTCTCATCCGGACGGATATCAGATCTCCGTCGATGCCCCTCTGGGCTCTTCGGATCATTGTCTGATCCGGAGTACGGTGCCACTCACGCTCCAATCGCAGTTGCGATCTGCAGCTTGCCGCCGTGTTTGGCACTACAGGTCAGCTGATTGGGACGGGATGCGGTCTTTTTTTGCATCCTACCCTTGGGGGCGGGTTTGCTTCTCGCCGGAAGATCCCAGCGTTGTTGCTGATGTGGTACTTCAGGGTTTGGAACTTATTATTCCATCCTCTGTGGTGCCCATCGGAGGCAGATCCCAGCCATGGTTTGGTCGCTCTTGTAAAATAGCATCACGCTATAAGCAGGAGTGCTACCGGGCCTGGGCTGACGCATCAACGTCTCGGGATGTAAACACCAGCGCACTTAAAAGAAGTATAATTCCGCCTCCAGGTCCTTCAAAAGCGTCATTGCCAAGGCTAGGTCTAAGCACATCGGCAGAATTGGCTAGAAGCTAGTTCGCCTTCCTTCGGGAACCCGTGCATTCTGATCTCTCGCCAAGGCTGTCCAAGGGAACTTCTGTCAGGCATCTCTTCCATCTCTGCACAGAGAGGACGACTCACTGGCCCATGCCGCAAATGAGAAAGCCGATCTGTTGAGCTCTCTCTTTGCGTCCAACTCGACTCTAGATGACGGGGGGAACACACCGCCGACCATCCCGCGGTGTAAGTGCTCCATGCCGGATGTGCGGTTTACACAGCGCTGGGTTCGTAAAGCACTCTTCTCCCTGGACGTCAGCAAGTTGAGTGGGCCCGATGGAGTCCCCACCATTGTGCTGAAGACGTGTGCTCCGGAATTTGTACCGGTTTTAATGCATCTTTTCCGGTACTCCTACTCACAGGGCGTAGTCCCGAATTCATGGAAGACAGCTTTGGTCCACCCGATCCCTAAAAAAGGCGACCGCTCAGACCCGTCCAACTACAGGCCTATCGCCATCACCTCCTTGTTCTCCAAAATAATGGAATCTATTATAAACTGCCAGCTCATGAGGTACCTTGAGGATCACCAGCTGATTAGTGACCGCCAGTACGGTGTTCGTCGGGGTCGATCAGCTGGTGATCTTCTAGTCTATCTGACTCATAGATGGGCGGAGGCAGTACAGTCCAAGGGGGAGGCATTTGCCGTTAGTTTGGACATAACGAAGGCCTTCGATCGGGTCTGGCACAAAGCGCTTCTTTCGAAGCTTCTTTCCTATGGGCTTCCCGAGAAATTGTGCAAATGTCCAGTTCAGTCTAAAAATCACCCGTTGCCTTGCTGATCGGAGCATCAAGGTCGTAGTAGACGGTGCATGCTCTGATTTCAAACCTATCAACGCTGGTGTTCCACAAGGCTGCGTGCTATCACCGACACTGTTTCTCCTGCATATCAATGATATGTTGCTAACTGGTAGTATTCATTGCTATGCGGACGACAGCACTAGTGATGCCTTATATGCCGGCCGTGCCAATATTTCTCGGGAAAACGTCGCCGAGTACCGGGACAAACTTCTGTCTGAAGTCGAGTCTTTGCTTAACAAAGTCTCGGATTGGGGGCGACTAAATCTAGTCCACTTCAGTCCCCAGAAGACACAAGTTTGCGCGTTTACCGCTAAAAAGAACCCCTTTGTCGTATCTCCTCAGTTTCAAGGCACTCCCCTTGCTGCCTCAGCTAGCATCGGAATCCTTGGCGTCGACATATCGAATAGTGTGCAGTTTCGTGGTCACTTGGAAGGGAAGGCCAAATTGACCTCTAAAAAGTTTGGCGTGCTCAGCAGAGCGAGACAGTATTTCATGCCGGCAAATCGCTTGCAACTTTACAAAGCGCAAGTTCGGCCCCATATGGAATGCTGTTCTCATCTCTGGGCCGGGGCACCCCAGTGCCAGCTCCTGCCACTTGACCGCATCCAGCGCAGAGCGGTTCGAATCGTCGACGACCGAGTTCTTTCTGATCGGCTCGATACACTGGCATTGCGTAGAGATGTTGCATCTCTTTGCGTATTTTATCGCATCTATCACGGGGAGTGCTCTGAGGAATTGTTCGGACTAATTCCAGCCGCTCAATTTCACCATCGCACATCGCGACAAAACTCGCGTTACCATCCATACCATCTGGATGATTGGCGGTCCACCACTGTGCGATTTAGAAGAAGTTTTCTCCCTCGCACAACTTCCTTGTGGAATCAATTACCACCAGCGAATTTTCCGGACCGACACGACTTAGGAACCTTCAAGAGAAGAGCTTACACCTTTCTAAAAGGCCGGCAACGCATCTGCAATTCCCATGGTGTTGCGGTTGTTCATGGGCGGCGGTAGTCACTTACCATCAGGTGAGACGCATGCTCGTTTGCCCCCTCTTCTATAAAAAAAAAATACAAACTTAGTTTAGTAAAGTTTATGAACTTTGAGCAGGTCAAATTTTGTATATTTTCTGGAATTTTGTTGTAAAAGCGTATACATCCCCCCAAGAATGAATTACTGACGCGATGGAGTCGAGTAACTGGCAATACTAGAATGTAGTAAACTAAAATGTAGATCTATTTACTAATAGAATAGAATAGAATAATTTTTATTCAATATAGATTACAAGAATATCATTTTTTACTTTAACCACTGGTTTAGAAAAAACTCTGTCCTGGGAAGAACCAGCAAGAAACCCAGCGGCCCTTTTTTTATAAAATAAATTTTTACATGTTATTTTATACAATTAGTATGAAGACATTAGAAATAGCATGGTAACAATCACCTAATTCTCAGGGTTATTATCAAACATGTTCTCTTTAGTAGTAGGTACGAGGGCGGCACTGAAAATTTCGGGAATCAAGGAAGTGACACAACATTACTATTTAAAAATGTATTTATTGCTTTTCGAAGTATTCTCCGCGAAATTTGACACATTTTTCCATACGATGGAACCAATCATTGAAGCAACCATTCCATTCGGAAGTTGGGGTCTCCAAAATGGCCGTTTTGTAGGCGTCCACAGCTTCTTCAGGTGATGAAAATCTCTGTCCACGTAATTTATTCTTTATTTTAGAGAAAGTGTAAGTTAGTAGTAGTAAGTAAGTAAAGTAGAAATCATTAGGGCTTAGGTCGGGGCTGTACGGCGGATGGTCTAATAATTCTATGTTTTCTTGCTCTAAAAACTCTTTTGTTCTGTGTGCGGTGTGAGAACTCGCATTGTCGTGATGGAGGATGATGCGGCGGTTACAGTTCTCTTTACAGAGTTCAGAAACGACCTGTGGCAAACAAATGCTAGCATACCATTCTTCATTAACCGTTCTTTGTCCCTCAAGAGGAATAGTCGTAACATGGCCGGTTTTGGAGACAAACGTGGCCACCATTTTTTTTGCAACACTCCGTGAACGAACAATTTTGGTTGGCTTTAACTCATTTTCGAACACCCAAACTCGTGACTGGTTTTTTGTTTCGGGTTTGTACGCGTATATCCAGGATTCGTCACCTGATACGATGTTGTGTACAGCATTTGAGGATCCTGCTTGGAATCTTTAGAGAGTTCTGACGCACCAAGTAACGCGAGCCGCTTTTTGCTCTTCACAGAGCGAATGCGGTATCCATCGGGAAAACAACTTTTTTACACCTAATTGTTCATGCAAGATTATTTGTATTTGACTCATGCCAATGTCTAAAGTTGCCTGAATTTCGCGGTATGTCACATGTCGATTTTTCTCAATCAGCTTACGCACAGCATCATCGTTTTCTTGGGTGACTGCAGTTTTTGGACGACCTTGACGGGGATCATCACTGAGCTTGACACGTCCACGTTGAAATTCAGCAAACCAGCGATAAATTGTGGTTTTGAATGGGGCTTCATCACCAAATGCAGAAATCATCTGGTCAACACACTGTTTTTGTGTTAAACCACTTCGAAAGTCATAATAAATCATCGCTCTTGAATTTTATCGAGTCAATTCCATTTTCTCAACGACTAAACAAGTTTGACAAAACCTTGTGACAAGACCGAGAATCTTTTTTTAAATAAATAAATGATATTAGATTTTTAAAACCAAGGACTTTTTAATTAAAAAGATTTTAATATGACAGGAACAGTGGAAATTTTCCATTCCCGATACTTTTAGTGCAGCCTATGTATAATAACCCTTACTAAACAATTTTTGCTTAATAAAAATTTTAAACTTTGATAGATAAGGCCTGCATATTTTTTGGAACTTTTACTGGTGACATATAGTTAATGTCAAATTATTTTCATTCAAAATTAGCTTTTACAAAGCTTTTTAAAAGTCAAGAAAGCTACACCATCACTTCAAGATGTCACTTCTACACTGCACTGCAGGAGGCCTTGTGAGAAGAAAAAATATACTGCCATCCATTAGAAATCAAATAATCTGGTAATTTCCCTTAGTTGACTTCTTATGACTGCAAGACAATGCAAAGAAGAAAACAAACAAATGGTAAAATTAAAATTTTGTACAACTTCAATTTAAATAAAATGAGAACATCATCATATAAAATAAATATAGTCAAAGTAAATTAAATACGCATTGTTAGGGATAACTCAAAAACTACTGGTCATATCTTGATCAAATTTATATGGGACCACATGAGAATCACCAGTTTTCAAATAAAATTATCAAAATCTGTACACCTAGAAAAAAAGTTCTGAAAATTCAGTTGAATTGGGAACCTTCTCCTTTTTTTGAAGTCGGTTGAAAAAATAACTTGTCCCTTGGTTGTTGTTTTTTTGTTTTCTTCATCACAGTCCACAGCTCTCTCAAAAATTAAACATCATGCACCTTTACCTGCTGCTTCCCAACCTGGTTTAAGCACATTTTATAGATATGTACCTATTTCCAACAGTCACATGGCTGCTACTTTTATTTTGCATAATTTAGTTGCTTTGCTGGGCACATACCTCTTATTTCTGGGAGGGTTATAGATTAGTTAGTTCTCTGCGCTGCCCCAGTGCATGATGTCAGATTTCACATGTCTCAAAGTACTTTTTTTTTCGCAGACAGCTGGTTTTCTTATTATAATTTTATTTATTATTAAATTACGTTTAACAATTTCAATTAAAATTCCAGCATATTTATTATTATTACTTAACAGGCGCAGGCCAGCAGTTGCAACAACTGATATAAGCCCGTATCCTATTTTCAATTGTGTAATTATTCTATTTTAGTTGTTTATCTAATCTGTTCTTGAATTGGTTAATAGTTTGTGCAGATATCACTTCTGATGGCAGCTTATTCCATGCTTCTACGACTCTTTGGCGAAAAAAGTGCTTGTGTGGGTTATTATTCGACATGGCTTTGGTTAATTTGAAGTGATGTCCCCTTAGATGTGTGTTTTTTGAGTAATGGAATAAATCCTTGTCAAAATTTTCTAGATCGTAGTGTCCATGTATAATTTTATAAGTTTCGATCAAGTCTCCTCGTTCTCTGCGATCTTTCAGAGTCGTTAGTTTAAGTTTATTTAGCCTTTCCTCATATGGTATGTTTTTCAATGCTCTGGGAACCTTTGTAAATCTGCGTTGAACCTTCTCCAGTAACTCAATACCCTTTTTGAAATAGGGGCTCCAGACTGGAATGATTTATAATTATTATTAAGTCATGTAGGCTTAAGATTATCCCTCACCCTCATCCATTTTGTAGGTGTCTTATGAGGCAATTATGGGTAATGCCAAAACAAATTTACAGCCTCCGATATATATATATATATATAGTGGAACCCCGGTAATCTGGCCCCTGGCTAGTCTGCGGGTCAACTGTACTCCATGCATAAATGTATACTGCAATACCATATATCTTTTTCATACGATTCTGCTGCTGAACATAATATATCTCTCCTACTTTGAAAGCACTTGCAATTGCTCCAAAGTCATCCAAACGTCAGTATTGGAGATCTGTACATACTTATTGTTCCTAACTAGAGTCTCCAAATCAGAATGTAGTTGCTTTATCTATCTATCATCCTCTCGAGACAAAGATGTTCACCTGTCCATTTGACCCTTTTTAGGGTTCTGTACCCAAAATGTAACCAACGGGACCCGGTTACTAAGGCTCCGCTGTCTGTCAGCAGGTTGTATCTCATGATCCATAATAGGTAGACAGTTAAAATTTTCACAGAATGTGTATTTCTGTTGCCACTATAACAACAAATAATAAAAATTAAAATTGGCTCCCCCACTAGAAACGTGTATGTTGAACATTGGGGACATATTGCTTCATAGGGGTGATATTTATTATTTTAAGTTTTTTCAGATGCGACGCTGATGCTAAATCTTCCATTTTCATTTTCCACAGATGCCTCTTACCACACCCACGAAATGAAATACTGATAGAAACTTTAATTATTTAAGAAAGATTAAATAACACTTATTGAGTCATTCTTATTGTGAATTATGGTACCACGAAATATTGAATAAAACTATTTTATCGAATTTTTAAATTTAGATGTTCTTAGTTTTTGCATTGCTTTGCTGCACTATGGTCACGGTTGAAGTGTTTTACGTCCTGTGGTCATAGTAAAGCCGGAGAACGTTGAGCTTTAAATTATTAATTTTGGGTGTTAAAGCTATAAAATCCGTAAAAATTGTTTTATTTAAGTCATTAGTTTTTTTTTTTAAATTAAATTAGTATTTAGGTAAATGTTAAGCACATTTGGCATCATGAATTTCATATATTTAATTTGTAATGTTATTCAAATTGATATGGGTTATAGTGGATTGTCTTACACCGCCACTACATAGCGTGGTTATTCTCTGTGCTATGATAATTACTTACAAAATTGTTGTATAAACGGTCTGAGTCCACTGTGTTGCAGCCATATGTGAATGTAGGAAGTAAGCACAGGTTGTTAGTGAAATACTATATATATACCAGATGTAAAATACTTTTTTGCTTTTGTCAAAACGTGTGCCAAGCACAGCGGCGGTCAATTGTTTCTACAATGGAAAATGAAATGACAAAAAGATGAATAATTTTAAATTAGTCTCTATATATATTAACATGGTTTTATTCTTTTTTCAGAAATAGCATTTTCACCAAATAACAATGAAGTTCATATTTACCAAAAAGAGGGAAATGACTGGAAGCAAACCAACAGTCTGGTTGAGCATGATCTTCGGGTAATGGGTATCGATTGGGCTCCCAACACAAATCGAATTGTTACTTGCTCTGTCGATCGTAATGCTTATGTCTGGACACAAGGTGATGACGGCAAGTGGACCACCACGCTTGTTCTCTTGCGTATCAATAGAGCAGCAACTTGTGTTAAATGGTCGCCAATGGAAAACAAATTCGCTGTCGGATCAGGAGCTAGATTGATTTCAATTTGCTATTTTGAAAAGGAGAACAATTGGTGGGTCTCCAAACATATCAAAAAACCCATTCGGTCTACTGTAACAACTTTGGATTGGCATCCGAACAACATACTCCTTGTTGCCGGATCTGCTGACTTCAAGGTCAGAGTTTTCTCAGCTTATATCAAAGATATAGAAGATCAACCTGGACCAAATGTTTGGGGTTCAAAATTACCCTTGGGTCAATTACTGGCCGAGTTTCCTAACTCGGCTTCTGGTGGTGGTTGGGTGCATAGTGTATCATTTTCTGCTGATGGTAATAAAGTAGCTTGGGTGGGTCATGACAGCTCTATTAATGTAGCCGATGCTACCCAAGGAAAAGCTGTAGTTAAACTCAAGACTGAATACCTGCCATTTTTGGGATGCAATTGGATCTCTAATAATTCCCTGCTGGTGGCAGGACATAGTTGCATTCCATTGCTGTACTGCCATGATGGTGACGAGTTGCGCTTTGTTGCGAAGTTAGACAATACACAACGAAAGGAGTCTGGAGGATTGTCAGCTATGAAAAAGTTCCAGTCGCTTGATCGTCAAGCACGGATTGAAACAAACGATACTTATCTGGATTCAATCCACCAAAATGCTATAACATGTATCAGCCTTTACAAAGGAACTAAGGCCAATGCTAAAAAGTTTAGCACTTCTGGCTTGGATGGTCAGTTAGTCATTTGGGATTTGGAATCTTTGGAGAAATCTATTGAAGGGCTCAAAATTGCATAATAATACAGCTCAACTAATGTTTATTATTTATTTATTATATTATATAAGGAATAATACAGTCAATTTGGGTAACATTGAATATAAAATGATTAAGAAATTTAATTTTATTAACGCATCTTCTTATTAAACAGGAACATTTTAAATGAAGTAGAAAGTTTTGGAGTCTATTTAAAAATAAAAACATGACACTGTATCATATTAAAATTATATTTTCATTCATTTATCGCTTTCTCATACAGTATGATAAGACACTTTCATAAATCTATTAGATGAATTATCATAAATGAAAAATTTGGTGTAACTTTGAATTAAAGTTGGAATTTACTTTGCCAATATTCGCTCAATAATTCATTGAGCGGATATTGGCACAGTAAATTTTTCAAACTTTAATATAATGGATGTCCGCAAAGTAACGCCTGATTCTATTAATTAACTTTGAATTATTTACTAGAATAAAATTAAAGCCAGGTAACTTTGAATTTGTGGTACATACCTCTTATCTTAAAATACTAATGAATGAAAGAAGGCAACAAAAACATAATTGACGACGAAATTTTATATATAAAAGTGTAGCTAAGATAATTGTTATTAAATATGTTGTCTCATTTTTGTTTAAGTTAATTTTATTCTCATTTAAAAATCAAATATTAATTAGAAATATTATTTAGAACACGTTTTATAAGATGTTGTATTTAGAAAATTATTAAATTAGAAATTAATTGCATTTAAGTAATCAAAAACCTAATCTATGACTTTTATTGTACATGTGTATTGTACCGACAATATGTTGGCCGAATTTGTTCCACGTAATCTATGTTTAGTGTTCTTATACAATTTCTAAATTTACAATTTTAACTATTCTCAGCATAATCCAATAAAAACAATGTACTGGAAATTATGTTGCATTCAAAGTTACCCAAAACTGCTCCTAGTTTAAATGGCACTTTAAACTTTGAACGCAATAATTTGCAGTATTTTGAATAAAAAATTAAAATTGTAACTGATTATTATTTAAATTAATTAAAAAAAATCTTAAAAAGGACTATAGTTTACATAGAAATGAAATTAATTAAACACAGAAAAAGTTTCCAACGAGTTCAAAGTTACCCAAGATGACGTTATAGTTTGCGTGCGAGTTCTGAAATCACTCAATTAGAAAACGATTAATAGAAGGAAAGCTGTGAGAAATTCACAATCACAGTTGTTATATCAGTCTAGCAAGAAAATGAAAATGGTGAAGCAGTTGAGGCGAGTGATGTCAGATCCCCGAACCGTAAAAGTTTCAAATATACAGAATAAACTATAATTTATTGGTATAACGTCTATGATTTACACAATTAAATTTTTTAACTTTTATAATCCAATAATTTATATAAATTAGACAATAAGGCTACTACACACTATGTATAATAGATCATTTTTAATACTACTGAAGTACTGATTGCTGTCAATGTTACATTAAACTTTAAGGAATTTACGAATGTTGTTTTTCTTAATGCGCGTCAATAGACATGTTCCTAGGCGACTTCCCTGTAGGAACACCCGAACGCCGTGTGTTATTTTCTAATATTAACAACAAAGTCATACTTTAAACCTATGAAACTATAAGGCCATTCTGTTTGTAAACTAAAGTAACAAGCTTATTATTGCATTTTGACGATATTAAACACGGGTCCGATGCGTATGAAGACCCGACGCAGTACGGTGCGCAGCTCCGGCTTTAAGTCGAAGCATGTGATCTCACACAAAAGCGGATAGTAGCTGGATACGTGTGCCGCAAACTGAAGACAAATAAAAAGAAATAGTTTATTCTTTCAGTCTTTTTCTCCATGACTGCAGAACAAGATATGTTCTCTGACCTCGAAACTATAAACTTATACTTCGTCATAGGTCCATGAAAGTCCTCTGCTAGAGGACCCTATCCCGTGATATTTATTTATGGAATAAGTGTGTCAAACGAGCACACAATCCATCTGATCGTAAGTGGATGGACATAGACATCTACCCTCGATTAATAATTAAAACGTAGACGTGTTGTCACTCCTTAGGCCTAAGGTAGAATCCTTCATTACCAGAGTTTTCTGGTGGTTCTCTGACTCTACACTCATCATACGAAGCAACATTAAGCTCTGGACGTGGACTTACCCTGGTTGAGCCGACCCATTCGTACTGCAACCATAACATTTATTTCTTTATTTAAACTTTTATGCACAAAAAAATAAAATCGTACATATGGCGGACTTAATGCCTTAAGGCATTCTCTCCCATTAGGCAAAGCAAATACAAACATATGGGAGGTAGTGCAGCAAAAATAAACTATATTTATCATACAAATGTACTTAAAATATAAATCTATTAATACAGACATACACAAATCTACTTAAATACATAAAGTATATATATAATAATGTAATATGTATATATTTTATGTATTTAGCTGCAGCGTGACTACCACGTATAAAAAGTTAACGTTGTATTTAGGACTCGCCTTAATTGTCAAACTAGGTCTAGCGTAAACGATATTGTTACACCGCCATTTATCAGAAGACATGATTATGGCATTTCCTACAGTCGCGTACATAGATAATCTTAAGAGGACGACACACGGTGGTAGTATAGTATGACTTAAACAACTATGCTGCACAAGTCATATTAAACTGCCGCAAGAGTAGAGGAACGGAGACATAAAAACACGGGAACAATTTTCTGCATGACAGAAATAAGAAAAAAAATTTCGATGACATGTGAAGTTTGCCAACACGCATTGGGGTAGCGCGGCGGACATTTCCTTGCCCTAAAAACCCTCTCAGAAATGAGGGGAGGCCTGTGCCCAGCTGTGGGACCTACTGGTCACTGGCACAAATAGGCAAGACAACAGTACTACTAACTATAAGGCATCAGGATTTAGAAGGTGATTGAATAATAATAAAAAAAACAGATACAATCATACATAACAGTCCGTCCGTCGACGTAAATAGACGTTTCCTTTTATTAACACATTGTTTTATACGGTGTGATGTTACACGCGCGTGTTTTAACTTCCGATGTACATTGTTGAATATAAATCGTTATATTATATGTGGAATGGACTTATTGGAAACTAGCAACCCGGCCCGGCGTATAACATAGACATCTATATCTATCCTCAATAAAGAATCAAAATGAAAATGCGTCGTCACCCGTGTGGACTAAGATGGAATGCCTCTTTCCCATTAAAAAGGGTATCCGGTTCTCCACACTCACCATACAAAACACAGCAGTGTTAAACTGTTATTTTACGTTGGTATTCTGTGAGAGCGTGGTTCTTCTCTGGTCGAGCCGACACATTCGTACAACAACTATACTACTAATATAACTGCAGCATAGCTCTACCACGTACAAGCTGATCATGACTCTACCATGTATAATTAACTCTCCTTTATTAACCTTAAACTCTTATTATTAATACGTTATTATTGAGAAATCATATGTACAGCAGTGGAGTCATAATGGACTGTAATGATGATGATGTCATTACATATTTGGTGGTAGGTTAGAAGAGATGCATATCTAGCCACGTAGAGTAGTTCAGTGTCAGACACGAAAAAAGAGGTCAATTCTGTATATATCTATGTTAGAAAGTGGCATATTTTAAATTCGACTCATCAATGAATGAGGATAGTCATAGTAGAACCAAAGTAACCGACATAGCCCAACGGATTACTCAGCTGAAGTGGCAATGGGCCGGCGTTATAGCTTGAAGAACCGACAACCGATGGGGAAGAAAGGTTCTCGAGTATCGGTTGTACCGGTAAGCGAAGTGTGTGGCGGTCCCCCACTAAATGTAGTGATGACCTGGTAAGATATGCAGGAAATCGTTAGAAGCAGGTGGCTCAGGACCGTGCTTTGTGGCATTCTTTAGGGGAGGTTTATGTTCAGCAGTGGACTGGTGAAAGGCGTAAAAAGACAATAAAACAGAGATAAAGTCTCCTTACATTCTCTGTAACTCCGAATTATAATGGTAAGTATCAACTGTCACATTTGCAAAATTGCTCAGGGCTTTATAGTGAAAATTTAAAAGGAAATAAACATACCCTTTCATCCGGCATCTTTAGTATCCGTGTAAGAATCAGCAGCAGTATGGATGTCCATGCATCTCTATGGGCTTCGTTGGTCAATCCGACGAAATACTCCAGCGCTTCGCAACAGATATTGATTAGACTCTTTTGCACTACAGGCCAGTGATTCCGTCTGGCTTCGTCACTGTACATTTTGAACAAGATCCGCATCATACAGGCAAGCGACTGGGTTTCCTGTTTCAACATGTTGGGTTTCACAGATCCTTTGAAATTTGCCTTCCACAGCACATTCCGCTGCGCATTATTAGTGTTAAAAGTTTTCGCGAATCGATGACTGCACATCAAACATTCGACGAGTCGCAGCAAATGTGGTGAGCTAAGTAGCCTATACATGCCTTGTTCTTCACGTTGACATTCTTGCTCCGTTCCCGGAGTACCTCCAGTCAGTTCAGCGGCTGCTAAAGCCAATGTCTCGGCGTCTTCTTTCCTTGAAGTCGCTGGGTAAAAGACAATGTTATCGATCGTTTGAATTAATTCGAGTTGCACCACGCATTTTATCAGAAGACTATTAAAGATTCGGTTAGAGGATTTCGCTTCGTCCCCTACTTGCGGTTTTTTCAAGATTCCGTGACGAACATGTGGAGTCTCACCATCGTCATTTTCCTCCGGCTTCCATGTTAGAAGGGTGGTGGGCAATGTACTGTTGAATATATCCAGCATGATCTGGCAAGTCTTACTCCAAGTATCTTCACTAAATTTCATTCCGTTCGATATGACTAGATTTTCTAAACAATTCGTGCCAGATCTAGCCAGTTGCTCATTATCCTGTTGGACGCACCAATGCAGTTGGGCGTAGAGTTGTTCTAGTAGGAGAGAACCGAGAATGTCGAAGTACTGCGTGAAGACGTCGACGATCGCATACAACGCGTGATTGCATGTTGTAGTCATCCATTCATTCTTCTCTAATTGATGTTCAGGTAATTTCATATTGTCAAAGATTCTGAACAGAATATTGAACAGATCTCTCCACCAATGCGGACGGAATGAGTCACCATGTGTTTTAATAATTTCAAATAGGACAGTGAGTCCTCGAGTTCGGACGTCTAATTTGCAACGGCTTACAACGCATGACAAAGAGAATAATAATGGAAACCACCCTCTCAGCCATACTCTGTCTTCTTCAGGAGCACCAGGTTCACCCTCTAGTCCCGCATGCTCTGCGAAAAGTTGCGGAGATGCCCCAACAGCTGTTGCACAAGATCTTACCAGTCTTATGGCCTCCATGGACGTATCAGGAAATTTCGCATTGCAAGCAAACTCAGAAAGGCATTTGACTGCATCTTGGAATGAATCAATCATTGCAGGGAACTGTTTTTCGTACAGTTCTGTTATAATTTTTCCAGTCGTTTGGAATGCTAAATCGACGATCGCTTCATCTTGATCACTTGCTGCCAAATGGAACACCGAGAAAATATTCTTCCAACCAGATTTAATATTTGGAGCCTGAGAGTTCACCATTTGAGCAATACACCTTACAACCATATCACGTATTGTAGGAGAGCTATTTTTCTTCATTATATGTTCAAAAGGTCTCAAAAAGTCTTTCTGGAATTTGAAGTTAGCAAATTCGCCTTTTTCTATAAACTTCATCGAAAGTTGTCTCAAGGAATCAACGGCGAAGAAGGCGATATCTTCGTTGCTACTGCAGCCTACTTTGTTAAAGTGGTCGCCAAGAACTTGCCAAATACGCGACCATTGTAGCCTAATCCTACCCATATTATAGTATGATATCTCGACAATTTTTTGTAACGAAAATATTCGAGGATTTGTGGGATGACTCAGTTCGTCAAGTGACACTTGACAAAGAGCTTTAACAAAGTCAACAATTGCGTCACCGTCGAGCCTTGTTGATCCCGTGAATATTCTGTCAACAGCTACCACAACACTTTGCGAACTGGTCTCTCCAATATGTTCTTTCACACTTGGGTCTAAAGTCATAAGACTAAACTTCAATGAATCAGGCTGCGGTTTAGTACCCGATCCCGATAAAAATTGAGGTCGGACTCCTGTGCCTATAAGCTGAGCTAATTCGAGTTGGGAAATGCACTTGACGACATCCAACCAACTGTTTCCTAAGTAATTTCCATCTGTATGCGCTACAGTAATCAAAGTTTTTATGGTGTCAATATTTTTCGCCTTCATTTCCGTAATTGGTGAGTTTGCCGTAAGTAAGGTGAATCGCGCAAGGGCTTGAACATATGCGTCTCTTTCTAAAGACATGTGGAAAATGCAAGCAATACGAATAGCACATCTTATTCCGTCTAAACACAGTGAAGCGATTTCCGTGTCGTCACAATCCTGCAGTCCCACTGAAAAGGCCGCAAGGAACGGAGTCCACGCCATTTTAAACATTGGTCG